TGGGGCCTCTTAATAATGATCTCAAAATGGGCATGCTTGGTTTTTAATAACAAGGTCAGTAGCTCCACAACTGTATGGCATGTCTTTGGATCATTTTAATCCTAGAGAGAGCAAGAGGATTCCAGAATTTAGCAGTAACTATAGCAACTCCCCACTTACTCCTGTCCATGTCCCTGAAGAGAGTTTTGAAGATTGCCTTGCAACTATTTCTTGTTTTTGTTGTTGTTCTTGTTTCAATCAGAAGTTCTTTAGAGAGAGTAGGAGGCCAATGCTTATTCTCTTGGTGATCTCTAGGGCCCTTCAGCTTTTCTGTTGGGTCCTGTAGAGTCTCTGGCATACCCATTTCTTTTTCCTATTCCTGTCTTCAGGGGAACTCAGAGCCTGATAATGCTAAATAAGCTGTTAGTCTCTATCCAAGGAAAGAATGAACTTAATCCCTGTCTCTAATGGTTCCACACCCTGCTTCATGACACGTATAATACCCGTATGTGAGAAGAAGAGTGGGAAAACGTCACCGTGAAACAAGTAAACTGGAATTCAGAAGATAAAAGTCAAAAATTAAGTTAGGCATAGTGACACACGCCTTTAATCCCAACACTCAGGAGGCAGAAGCAGGCAAATTTCTGTGAGTTTGAGGCCAGGCTGATCTACAAAGCAAGTTTCAGGAGAGCTAGGGCTATTACACAGAGAAACCCTGTCTCAAAAAACAAAATGAAACAAAACAACAACAACAAAAACCAACCAAAAACAAAAAATAAAAAAAATGTTTTAAAACTTAAAATGTCAACCCTCTCATACAAAATAAAAAGGTTTTGGAGTTCTAGAATGGAGTGACAGGATTCATATAACTTGTGCTACCTACTCCATTGAATAGAATACATTTCTTTTTTGTTTTGCAAGCCTCTGGGTATGTTTAAAAAGTGACCAAGGCAGCTCTGTTCTCTGAGCTTGATGCAGGTTTGAAGACCACATCTGGAAATCAGACCAGCATATGGTGCCTGAGGGTAGAACTTTCCTGGGAGGTCCCTTTTCTTTTCTTTTCTTTTCTTTTCTTTTCTTTTCTTTTCTTTTCTTTTCTTTTCTTTTCTTTTCTTTTTTTTCTCTCCTTTCCTTCCTTCCTTCCTTCCTTCCTTCCTTCCTTCCTTCCTTCCTTCCTTTCTTTCTTTCTTTCTTTCTTTCTTTCTTTCTTTCTTTCTTTCTTT